TTTCTGGTAACAGGGCTTCGGCGGAAGGCTGCTTCATCCTGTGGGGAAGGGAGCTGATTTTCACACCGCGAAGTGAGGGTGGCATCGGCATGAGGGATCCGGAGGTTCAGATTACCTGTTTGGCAGCCAGGAGAATCGGTTTTTTCCTCACGGAGCAGGATGACTTTAAGCGAGATATGATGCTTGTAGCCGCGGGCCTGACGTTGGGATTGGACTCGTTCCTGGCCCACGAGAAGCTGCTGAAACATTGGATCGGGGGGAGTGCCCGCTGGAGGCAGACGTGCGAGTGTTTCATGTCGTCTCCTCTGGCCCCTCTCACCGCCCCTCTCACCGCCCCTCTCACCGCCGCGGAAGCTGCTGGGGAGAGACTGGTTTTTAACAGAGGGATTCTGCTCAACGGCAGAACGCCGCTAGGAGGGCAAAAAGCGGCTAAAAGCTTGTGGGAGGTGAGGCTGGGTGACCTCATCGAGACAGGAGCTGATGGGAGCAGAACAGTCAAGAGCGCTGAAACCCTCGCCAACTCGCTGGGGGGGTTAGGTCCTGCTCGGCTGGCTTGCAGCTGCACCGGAAAATTGGAGGGAGCTGTTGCTGACCTCATCTGATGCAGGCCAGTGGGCGGACGGAGGGGGGAGGGCAGCGGTGACTCCTGGGGAAAAACTCATTCGCACGCGAATTTTTCACCAGGGCCAGGTTGCTCCGCTGAAGCGGCTACGTTCGTTTAGCCTGGAAGGGCCGGGGCAGTTCGGCGCGGAAGAGAGAGAAATGGGCCAACAGGTGGGGAGGGGTTTTTGACTGGAAGCAGGTGGTGAAGATTCGCGACTCTTTGGTCACGCCTAGTCGCCCCAGAGACGTTTTGATCAGGGTGCACAATTTCAATCTCCAAGTGGGCGAACGGCTGGCTTTTCTCAACTCCAAACCTAAGTGCCCACACTGTAGCACGGATGAATCACTTGAACACTGCCTTTTTGAATGCCCGAGAATTCAACCGGTGGTCGGTGCCCTGAGAGCAGCCCTCAGGATGATCAATCCAAGCCGCACCATTTCCTCGCTGGATGATCTCATCTTCAAGCGGGCGGCGTCCAGCTCGGCATTTCCAGAAGCGACATTATCTGCCATTACTATTCATCAACTGTGGGTCGAGAGGTGCGAGTCGGTATTCCGCGGGCGAAAATTCCGAACAATGAGGGTTTTGTGGAAAATTGAAGCAGCATTTCGACTCCATGCACGAATTTTCATGAGACACCTGGGGGAAAAACTTCAGAAGGACAGCGCATTCAGGCAGAGGCTGACACGTGGAGGAGGGCCTATTCAGGAGATAAGGCTCCTGGACCGTATTCGAGACATTAGCGCCAGGAAGTAGACATGGAAGGCGGGTTTTGCGGCCATCTGGGCACGTCCGAAGGGGTGCGCCAGCAGGCCAGGGATTCCTCACTGAGGCGGGTTACTACCTGTCCTCCAAGCACAGTTACGACTGTTCTTGATTTGTACGCTTGCTCTCTCGGTGTATTGAAAAAAAAAAAAAAAAAAAAAAAAAAAAAAAAAAAAAAAAAAACGTCCCCAGGCAAACGAACCGAATGCTCACCGAAAGCTTACAGAAAGAGGGGAAACGGAAGCGGCCAGAAATCCAGGTAGCGTTCGAATGCTTATCCTGCTTTACGAGTCGTTATGCCTAGCTTAGAATGTTAGGACGTGGGCCCAATCGACTTTGATCGGCGCGATCAAAAGCGATCAAGAAATTCGTGGAAGGCGGGAAGCCAAATTTAGGTAATCGGGGGCAATCAGCCGATCACGATCAGTTGATCGCCCCACCTTGATCAGACCCGATTTTCACCCCGATCAGAGTCGATTACCCTCGATCACAGACGATCAGTTGATCGCATGTGATTGGGACCAAAGCGATACTTGCGAGCTGTTACTCTGTTTTACTTGGTCTCGTTACCCCTCGCTCATACGTCTCGGCAACAAATGGGCTGTTTGAGGTTTGCGAAATTACAGGGAAACCAACAGTTTTCGGATGGTAGAGTTTGGTCGCCAATCTCGCAAAATTTGGAGCGAAATTCCCACGTTATCGTCGCGCGTTTGCCAAGCAGGCGCTGAGAATTTCCATGGAAAATCTTCACAGATCGGGCGGCTCGGGCAAAGCGATCAGAAGCAACCAGATCCGATCCGACCCGATCAGATCAGCCACGATCAAAGTCGATTGGGCCTAAGTCCTTATGGCCTTTCAAGAGCATCATGTGTATATTTCAAGTTTTCCACACCATTCCACCAAACCACAAAACCCATACACCTAACCACCGCTATTTTCAACTTCTCACCTTGGCACTGTTCCCGCTTTTCATATAATCCCTGCCCAACTTTCGGTGGTTTCTGTTAGACACCTAAATATGGGGGGCTATGAATGACGTCAGACAATAGGGCGAGTGTCAGACAATTTCCGCTCGTGTGAAGGAAATTGCTGTTGCGCATCCCGTTGCGTAGCTTTCGAAAGTAAGGAACTCTGCGTATGACGTCCGGCACAACCCTCGGTCAAAAATGTATAAAGGGTACATACCCCTTTGCACACGTGGGGGTTCAAATAGCGGTGGTTAGGTGTACCGTCCCGACCCGATCTTCTGAATCCGGCCGAATTTCACATCAGCGCATCAATTGCAGTGCCCACTGCCCAGAAGGTTTGAACAGCAAGGTCGCGGCAACGTGCAAGCTACAGTGTACAATAAGAATCTTATCGCGGTGGAAGACGACAGTAGACCAGCGGTTTCATCGAGCAAAAATATTTTCCCGTTTTGTCTGTTTCAAACAGAGAACACACAAACCAAACAAACAGCAGGCGGACAAAAACAAACCAACCAGCGGTGTGGGTGTGTGGTGGTTGGACGAGTCCAGCTAGACCTGGCCAGCCTGGTGGGGACCACCACTTCAGTGACAGCAAGTCTCTTGACCCTGCCAGCCTGTTTTCTTTATTGTACAGTACCTCCCCTTTTCCTACCCACGCATGATCCCGCTCTTTCCGCAGATCACCTCTACATCCTCCGTCTAAAATTATCACATGAACTCATCCACGCCGTTGAATTACTCTTGTTCTCGCAACCACAGGTACCAGATCTGCCCTACACCCCATACTGTACATCGCAGCCATGCAGAGCGCCACCTCGTTTTTGACTTTCCTGACTCATCAACTGAATGTGCGTGAGTGGTGTCATTCTCCCGAGCCTGTGTTTCATGCTCCTGCCGAAGGGCCTCAAAATGCTTTTCTTCTCTCTCCTTCCTCCCGAGCCTGTGCTTCATGTCTCCCCTCCTCTGCTCCCTCGCCATTCCCCTTTCACTCTCTCCGCTCTTTGCTCGGCTCCACCACCTTTCGTTTCCTCCTCTACAGTATTCCCCTCTCATCTCCTCCCCTTTCATCTCCTCCGCTCTCATCTCCTCCCGTCTCATCTCCCCCCCCCCACCCCACCTCCCCCCCACCTCCCGTTCCCCACCCGAAAACCTCATTCCAAGAACTCTCAATCTCTCTTGACCAGCACACCACAGGTGAGGGAGGAAAGTATCTAGAACCATTCAATCCATCAACCACATCAGCCCACGTAAAGCCAACCGCACGCTCAACCGCTGCTCCTCGCATCAGAAGAGCAGAGGCGACGGCGACGGCTGGCTCTTCCCTCAACCGTCGGATTCGCCAACCCAGCAGCACGTTGATGACGGCAAAGCGACCACCAGGCCCCAGCTAGAGAACGAGCGGGAAGCGAGAGTCGGGGGGGAATCGTGCTCGACCCCATGAAGCATCCGCCACAGCCGAACCAACTTGGGCAATTACCTCCGCGGTAACACTTATTGAGCTCGTTTGCACGGGAGATAAGCCACGTGTCCAAATCGTAACAAAGGTATCTTCTCATCGCCACCGTGGTAACCAACATTTCCGAAATGGTCAACATTATTGCCTGAATGGTAATGAACAGTGCTTCCGGGATTCCTGGCTGGTAACTTCGCGTTCGTACTAAACTGTACACCGTACAAGTAGGGTTTGTTAAGAATGTTTATTAAGTTTTTTTTAATCTTGATTTTGTTGTCATAGTTGATTGTATCGCATACTTGCATGTAACGCTTTGCGTTTGTAAGCGTTCATGTGCATTCTGTGCTGTACGGTGACATCAGTTTCAGTTTTGCTGAGTCAAGCCCTACTTGTACGGTGTACAGCTTAGTTCGAACGCGAAGTTACCAGCCAGGAATTCCGGAAGCACTGTTCATTACCATTCAGGCAATAATGTTGACCATTTCGGAAATGTTGGTTACCACGGTGGCGATGAGAAGATACCTTTGTTACGACCTGAACACGTGGCTTACCTTCGTGCAAACGAGCTCAATGAGTGTTACCGTGGAGGTAATTGCCCAACCAACTTCTCCCTTCTGCATGATGCCTACTTCCCGCCAGCCCACTCCGCCATAACCTACAGATGTCAAACTGCTGAGCTTCAATGCTGCTGCCGATTTTCCAATTACCAGCTGGACTGGTAATGTAATCCCCGCAATTGCGTCGGACTCGGCAGCGGAACTGCTCCACTAGTATGTGGCGGAGCGACGCGCGAAGCGGTGCGACACAGCGATTGTAGAGCCTCGGCTTATGTTACTCCTCACCTACTAAGCTGTGATGTGCCCCATTGCTGGTAGACGATCTAACCGTGCACAATTAGTTTCCTCGCATCGATCCAGTTTTTTATTATTCTGTATTTTTTCCAACGAACAGAACGCGGCAGTATCTTGTATCCACCATCGCGATTTATCGCTGTTAGCAGCGGCTGTAGTCACCCTTCATGGAGTCCGTATCAGAGGTGTGTCCTATACCCGTTATAGACTGGCGCAACTTAGGCAACGCGGAGGCGCAATCCCTCTCGCAGCGCGGACTCATAAACACGGACATCACGCCAGAATGCGTCCGGCAGTTCGAGAAACGCCTCCGCCGCTTTCGCCGCCGCCAGTTGCGGAACGTCGCGACCGACGCTGCGATGCAGCTTTCGACCGTCGTCAGCCAGTGGCGGCAGGACGACCGCCTCGCGGATAAAATCATGGAGATAACGGCGATTGCGGAGGAAAGCGGCGGCGGCGACGGGAAAAGCGGCGTCGACGCCAGCATGAAATGCGGCGAGAAGTCATGTAGCGGAGGATGCGGCGGGGGCGGTGGGAGCGGCGGGATCGGAGGGAGCGGCGGGAGCGGCGGGAGCGGCGCGAGCGACGGGAGCGGGGAACCAATCGGGCTCCGCCAATCGTGCTCGCTCCCCGAGCTGTGCCCGATCCCCGCTGTTGACTGGCGCGTTTGTAGGTCGCACCGGTCACACGGCTCGGATCACTCCCGCGGCTCGAGTGGGGAGCTGGAGCTGCCTTTTAGCGTGCCACCGCGTAGCAATAGCTCTTCCGATCCCCAACTTACCTCCCAACTTAGTTCCGAACTTAGTTCCCAACTTACCTCTCCTTTGGAGCAGTCCAGCGAGCCTAGCGTCGCTGAGGTCAGCTCGCGTGCAAGTCGGGCGATTCGATCCCAATCGCACGATTCTGGTTACTTCCACGTGTCAAGACAAGAAGTGGAGCAGAACCGACAGAAACAGCAGCATATCAAGGGTGAACAGCGGCGGCCGCTTGAACGCATCAACGACTCGGATACGCGCGCTAGTCCCTTCGACGGGGAGACGAGGAGAGAGCAGGCAGGTGGTCTCCCGGCGGCAGCCAGTCCCCCGCCGTGCGCAAATCTCTCGCCAGCGGAGTGTCCGCCGTGCGCGAGTCCCTTCGACGGGGAGACGAGGAGAGAGCGGGAAAGCCGTCCCCCTTCAGGGGAGCGTCCGCCGTGCGCGCATGCCTTCTACGGGGAAGCGAGGAGAGACACGAGTCGCCCGGCTGTCAGCCCCCCGCCGTGCGCGAGTCTTCCGACAATCGACCTCGCGCCGTGCGCAAGTCTCTTAGACAAGCTATGCGCCTTCCCCAGCGACAGCAGCTGCAGCAGCGACGTTTTCGCTGATGGTTCCGGCGGCGGGGTTGGCGGCGGAGTTGGCAGCGGGGTCAGCGGAGGCGGTAGCGGCTTGGTTAGCGGCGCTGTTAGTGACGGCGGGGAAAAATTTGGGGTGTGCAGCGCGGCGGTGATTCGCCAGCCAGTTTTTCCCCCGGCTGCTGCTGAAGGGAGCGGTGGGGTAAGCGGCGGCGGTAACGACGCGGTTAGCGACTGCGGGGACAAGAATGGGTTGTGCAGCGCGGCGGCGATCCGCCAACCAGTTTTTCCCGCCGCTGCTGCTGAAGGGAGCGGTGGGGGTAGCGGCGGGGGTAACGACGCTGTTAGCGACTGCGCGGACAAGAATGGGTTGCGCAGCGCGGCGGTGATCCGCGAACCAGTTTTTCCCGCCGCTGCTGCCGCGGGGGACAGGAGCAATGGAGGCGGCCGGGGTGGCGGAGGCGACGGAGAAAACGGGGAAGGCGGCGAAAACAGGGAGAACGGGGAAAACGGGGAAGGCGGAGAAAGCAGGGAGAGCGAGGAAAACGGGGAAAACGGGGAAGGCGAGAACGGCAAGCTCAGGAGCAACGAGGCGGTACTTCGTCAGGCTATTTTTCCCGCGCTGGTTAATATTAGTAGCGGTCCGGGCCCAGCGGTGGCGACAGGATGCGGGGACAGCGGGCGCAACGTCCGCGCAGGATCATGGGATGGGGGGAGGTTTGCGAACGGATGTGCGCGGGAAGTTCCGCCGGGGGTTCCGCGGGGAGTTTCGCTAGGGAGTTCGGAAGAGAGAGCGCGCAGGGAATCTGCGGGCGGCCTCGATTTGCAGAGAGGCGTTGATTCGCTCGCGGAAGCAGATCCTGGTTCCCCCGTACAAATGGACGGTAACGGAGAGATTGTTAACGGAAAAAATGCTAACGAAGTCGGCCTTTCTGCATCACCATCGTCGTCGCGCCTTCGACTCCGTCTCCGTCCGCCTTTCGCCATCGCGGTTACCCGCCGACGGCCGCTCAGCGAACGGTCGGATCTGGGTCCCGCGAATCACGCATCGCCACAGTCGGCGTGCCGCGAGCCGCGGCAGGAGGCCTCCTGTTTGCGTGGCGCGACGGATTCACCCGACGGCGGTTTGAGCGGCGGCTTGAGCGGCGGCGTGCGCGGCGTCGTGCGGCAAGCGTCGCGTGACGCGCAGGCCGCCGCGCATTCGCCGCACAGCGTTGCGGACTTTCCGATGTTCAGCAGCCCGCGCGTCGAAACGGCGACGCTGGTCGACGCGCGTGGCGAGGCGACGCGCGTTGAAACGACGCGCTTCGATCCGGAGAGATCGTCACGGCCGCTTCGAAGCAGAGAATCCTGCTGTTCGTCACACCCTCCTATCGCTGCATCGGGTCGCAGCCCTAGTATTACTACGTCTGATACAGTTACTACGCTGAACAGCCCTAACACGACAATCAGCCCGCGTCGCCGCGGTTTGCTCCACTGGCCGTCGCTCCCGACGTCGTTTTCAATCAGCACCGCGTCGCGCCTCTCCTTCACGTCGCTGCTCTCGCCCTCCTCAGGCACCTCCGCTTCAGTCACACCCGCTTCAGTCACACCTGCTTCAGTCACACCCGCTTCAGTCACCCCCGCTTCGGGAGCGAATCAGATGAATGGTTTTAACGGCGCCGGCGAAATCCGTGTTAGGAGCCGTAGCGCGATGGCGGTTTCAGATTCGACAGCTTCGCAATCCGAATTTTCGCAGGACGGTTTTTTTCAATCCGGCGTTTCGCAATCCGGATCAAAGAACACGTCTGATTCGTCGCCTGGATCTACTCGCCCGCTGACTGCACCCACGGCGGCGGCAACCCCGCTGTCGCAATCCGTCGCAGATGCGCCAGCGAAAACGACGTCGCCGTCGCTGCTGGGTCGCCTGCAGGCACTGGGATGGAAGGAGGGAAAACAGCAGCAGCAGGAGCAGCAGGAGCAGCAGCAGCAGCAGGAGCAGCGTGAGAAGCGGGAGAAGCGAGAGCAGCAAGAGCAGCGGTTGCAGCGAGAAAAAAACATGCGGTCCAGATCCTGTCACGTTCAAACTTCGGGATCGCCACGTGTCACATCCACGAGGGCTGAGAAGTCTCGTCTCGCATCGTCACTCACGGTTAGATGTTTGCGACGAACCGCATCGCAGCCCGAAAGAGAAGCGGAACAAGGCAGAAAACGCGCGGAACGAACACCGGGCGGAAACTGCTGCGCGGCTGGAAACAGCAGCGCTGGTGGAAACAAATGCGCCCGTGGGATCAGCTCCGCGGAAAGCCTTGCGGACGGGTGTCTCCATGAGACAGTTCCTGTTGGGGAACTAGGTTTAGCTGATAGCGCAGGGGCGGGGACCACCAGCGCGGGGAACATTGAAGCTGGGGGGAATTGCAGCAGCGGGGAACGTGACAACGGCGGAACTATAGAGAGGGCGGAGTGCTGTTCGCGTTTGAAGCCGCTCCATTTTCCTGCACAAGATGTGGTTTCTCCTGAAACTGTGTCTACAGTGCAGAGAGAGAGAAAGCAAAAGGGTGGCGGCGTTTTTGAGAAGATTTGTGGCCCAGCAGCATTTTCGTCGTCCCATTTAATCAGTCAGACTGGTACGTCACTCTCCTCTCACCTTTTCTTCCCTTCCCTACACTCCCCTTCTCTCCCCTTCCCCCCTCTCCCCTCTCCTCCCCTTTCCCCCTTCTCTCCCATGCCCTGCCACCCTCTTCCATTGCTGATGTCCTAATCTCTTACCTACCTCCCACCTCTTCGTCTCCTTTACCCTACTCTCCCCTCTATCGTCCAGCACAGCGTCTCCAGCCGTTTTCAGCGTTATAGCCCGTTCCCATTCCCGCCCTAAACCCGTTTTAGAGTTTCAACACCATCCCTTCCCCACCCCAACCATTGCTCACTCCTCTCATGCAACTTGAGAGTCCATTGCGAGAACTGTCAGGTATAGGTGTTCTCATTCTCCTGTTGTAACTGCTCGCCACGCTCTGCTCGCCTCTCCTCTGCTCACCTTTATTTGTTCCCTTCCTTAACCCCAACCCTCACCAATCCCCTTTACTGCAGGTTAGGTTTCCAAGGCGAACCCTATCAATCACAGATGCCTTCCCCCCCCCTCGCTGTGACGTTCCTGTTTTTTCGAAACTCTGAATTTATTGTTCTCTCTCCTCTTTCTTCCCTCCTGCCCTCCCCCTCTCACCCCTCACCCACCCCCAACCTCCAGCCCTCCCTTCACGGAAAATGAGCCTAAGGCGAGCATTTTCACACATGTCCCTTTCTTCCTTGGGGCAGGCAAAGTGATAGCAGCAGCAGCAGCAGCAGCAGCGGCGGCGGCGGCGGCGGCAGCAGCGGCGGCTGTGACTGAGAGTGGGCCACAGCTACCACGGTCACACGTGTCCTTTCCTTCCTTGGGGCAGGCAAAGTGATAGCAGCAGCGGCAACTGCAATTGTGGCTGAGATTGGGCCTACAGCTACCACTAACACACATTCATTGCTTCCTTGGGGCAGTACAAGCCATAGCAGCAGCGGCGGCAGCATCAGCAGCAGCAGCGGCGGCATCAGCAGCAGATGTAGCTGTCACAGAGAACCCAAGGCGACCGCTGCCACACATGTACGTATCTTCCTTGGTCAGTAGCATGTCAGTTTTTAGATGCCCCTAAAACAGTCATAGCAGCAGCTGCAGCAGCAGGAGCTGTGACAAAGATTGGGCGTAAGGCGAGCACTGTTGCACGTCTCCAATTCCTCCTTGGGCCAGTGGAACTCACAGTAGCAACGGCAGCAGCTGTTACAGAAATTGGTCCAAACGCAAGCGCTGCCGCGCATTTGCCTTTCCGTCTTGGGTCGGTCCAAGTCAAAAAGCGGTGGCAGCACCAGCAGCTGATATGGAGATTGGACCTAATGCAAGAGCTGTCACAGATGTGCCTTTCCGCCTGCGGGCATCTTAAATTCTAACAGCAGTCACATTCATTACCAGCCCAGATCCCAGCAGTCACATTCATTACCAGCCCAGATCCCAGCAGTCACATTCATTACCAGCCCAGATCCCAGCAGTCACATTCATTACCAGCCCAGATCCCAGCAGGCACATTCATTACCAGCCCAGATCCCAGCAGTCACATTCATTACCAGCCCAGATCCCAGCAGTCACATTCATTACCAGCCCAGATCCCAGCAGTCACATTCATTACCAGCCCAGATCCCATCAGTCACATTCATTACCAGCCCAGATCCCAGCAGTCACATTCATTACCAGCCCAGATCCCAGCAGTCACATTCATTACCAGCCCAGATCCCATCAGTCACATTCATTACCAGCCCAGATCCCAACAGTCGCATTCTTTACCAGCCCAGATCCCAGCAGTCACATTCATTACCAGCCCAGATCCCAGCAGTTACATTCATTACCAGCCCAGATTCCAGCGGCATTCGCTTTGTCACTAAGGTCAGTGCTTTTTTATCTTCTAGAATCGAGACACAAATCCCCATTCACACTGCAGCAGAGGCAGAAGCTACTGCAGCAGTTGCTGTTTGGGAGTGGCAGATGACAATGATAAGGCCGTTGCGCAGACTTGGGTGGAGCAGCAAGTGCTAATTTTTCCAGCTTCAACAAGCGCGAGCTAAGAATGGCGGGTTTATCTGATCTAAACATGATTCTGCAAGGCAGGCTAACAGGGGTTTGAGGGACGCATGAGCAGTGATCAGATGGGTTGTGGTGTGGTGCCGCCGCCGTCTTTCTCCTGCTTCATTCGCAGCAGTCTAAATTCTCTGCAGTTCAATTTCTGCTACAGCTGCCAGTGGTGCTCTTTGTTGCTCGTTCGAAGGTTCCTACTGCTGCCGCTCATGTGGGTTGCTGTCGATTATCAATCTGCTCAATCGCGGCTGTTTGAGCTATACTGAACCTAGATAACGCTATTGATTTGTCATTGTTTTGGCAGCGCTGTTGCTGCAGCGAGTACCGTAGCATCTAGGACAGCAAAAGTATTTCTATGGTCTCGTATTCATATACTAGGTGGTTACCCTATCATGCTGCTTAGTGACATTTAATGCAAACTACACTCACATGCACACACGCACGCCCACACGTCCTCCAACCCAACCCTCAAAACACATGCACACAGAACAGACTCAGGTGTCACTTGCAAATCCATTTTAGCATAAGGCAGGTTGAGCGGAGAAAGGCAGTCAGTAGTACCGCACAAACTCGGAGTTTGAAAATTCGTTTGTGAGGAAACGCGTAAAGTGCAAATAAAGTTTAATTGTACCCTCTACTTGGTTTAACACCTTCCACTCCCCTTTTATTCTGTTCTTCAATTCACCCACGTTCTTTCCTGTATTGATTATGTTTATAGTCGGTGTTTCCGGGTTTGATAATTAACCGAACTGTACCGTAGTTCCAGCAAGCTGGTTGTTTCACCCAGCTCTCTTCATCTGGTGGCTAGTTTTTCCATGACGGCAGGTAGTACTGCGCCACGTGGATACATCTGTGGCCTAACCCCTGCCGATGGGATCGTTCAGATAAGGACGATTGGCGGAAACTGCCAGCACATCACTTTTTGGTGGAAGAGGCTTCTCCGCTCGTACACATCAACCCTGATTCTGTCTGGCTCCGCCACATTCGTCGCTCGCGAAGAACTTCACATGGTAACGGCTTATCTTCAGGCCCAAATATTCCACCATTCCCTGTCATCTCTTCAGTTCGTTTCAATTCGTTGCCTTCGCGAATGTCGTTAGCCTAACTCCAAATCTCTCCCTAGGGTTTCCCGTTGGTCCTCCCTCCCTGACTACCCTGCTGCTCTCATTTCGGATCAGAAGGCTTTAGTTTCTTTGCTTGGAAATTTTTACTCCCAGCCAGAGACAGCCTCCTCTAGCTTCACCAGCTTCATCCGTATTTGCCGATACAACCACACCATCAGCCATGGCTGCCATCGCTTCTTCCTGCCAACTGGCTGTTGCCCCCACCGCTGCTGTGGCCAAGGTCGCTGCTCCTAAGCGTCAGGCCCGCATTGCCTCCTTCGGCCAGTTCTCGGGTCTGAAGGCTTCTTCCTGCGTGTCGGCTGTTGCTGAGAGGAAGACTGTTGACGAGAGCTTCGCTCAGATCGCTGCTGCTACCAGGCAGACTGGTGCTCGCGGCGGTGCTCTTTCCTCCAGGTGTGACATCGGCTCCGAGATCTTGCGGGTGGTTCCCGTCATCGGAGGCATGATCTTCACTGGCATTGCCCTGGGCTTCGTGCTGCTCCGTGTTGAGGCCTGGCTCGAGGAGGAGGAGGCTTAAATGTCTGTTTCTTTGTTCATTATCAATGATAAGCTCTCGAGATATTTTATAAACCATTATTCTTTTTCCATCTTCTAACAAATACGTTTCTCTTTCACCCTTGACGGTCCCAGGCGTAGCTATACATTTCAATCAGTCCAGTGGCTACGTTAGGGAGATATTTTTCTTTTCGCTTCAACGCGCCCCGAGTTGCTGCATTTCGGCTCGTCCGTGATGCGCACGTTAGACGTCCGAACCGATCTAGATGTGTGCCTCTGCCCATTACCGCTGTCGTCTTGCAACGACTGATTTCGAAAGGCCAGACTTATTCATGGATAAGAATATGTGCATCACAGTCGCAGTAACTGCCATCTGTGCACTAATCTGAGGGGGCTA